ATTACCTGGCTAGGTAACATCTTCAGTGCTAAAATGGGATGGAGTTTGCTCTCTATTTATGGACTGTGGTCTGCCTTGCCAGTGTTGGTGGGAGTGGGGGTTCTGTTTTGCTCCTCTGGTAGTTCTTTGATTTTTTTTTTTTAATCTGCGCTCAGTCGTTACCGACTTACTGCTTGATTGTGTGCCTGGTGGTAACCTTTGCTCATCTGGGTGATGATTGCTGGTGAGGCAATCTTCTGGTCTTTTGTCTCTTTTGAATAGCCTCTTTAATATGAATTTAATATGAATATTTTTAATTGCCTCTTTAATATGTTTTTCTCATGATGAAGATTGGTTTGTAACCATCTTGGCTCAGCAGAAACTCCATTTATTAAAAATAATAATAATAAACATGGTCTAATATTCCATTTTATTTTTGAAGAAAATGACACTCTGGAATAATAGAGGATTATGACATCACAGACTACTTCCTGAGGTCTTATTGGTTGGAATTAGTGATTGTTGCCTAATAAATATTCTGCTATCTCATTTGCTGGAGGATGGCAAGTAATGTGCAACACTTAACTAAAAGGCCAAAGGGTTAAGTTGCAGTAATCTAGTTGTAGAAGGAAAGAAAAGATAAAGATCAAGCAATGTAAGTTTTCAAAGTGTCATAACCTAGTTTATGAATCCAAAATGAGACAGGAGTTGATTAGTGTATGATTGTGATTGACAGAAATGGCACGCAAATCTCTGCACTGTAAAATAAAGTAGATTGTCATTTCACACCAAGCTAATTTATTAATTCATTTATTTACTTACTCTATTTACTTACTTACTCATTACAGGAGCCGATATGCTCCTCCAGTCCAACAGGACTCTGAATGGTTTACATTCTGTTCTTATAGCAAAAAGGTTAAAATACAAAAAAGATATAATAAAAAGAACACACTATAGTGAGAAATAATAATAGCAACCAAGATTACTAAGAAAGAAGCTAAGGCCATCAAGAACAAAAACTTCCAGACATAATCCTGGATTGGGGATCTCATTTATACTATATCTCCTCATGTGGGTTTCTTAAAATGGGTTAAAAAGCTCTCCTAAATAAAACACAAGAGGAAGTATGTTCTATGATTTCTGTGCCACTCCATTACAATTTGTTTTAAATAAGTTGAATAAGTCACAAGTTGAATAAGTCACAGTGGCTGGATTTACGTGTCATGCTAAGCCAAAATTAAACAATGTGCAAGATGATTTAGGTCAATTTAAATGTTTTGCTTTATTGAGTTATAAAGATTAACACCTGCCAAGATTTCAGAGGGGTCACTTAAAACAATTCTGTGAAAATAGTGGTTTGGGTTGTAACTTAAAGCCGCATAATATGCACATTAACAAGTAGATGATCATAGCAAAAATTCATACTTTATTTTCTCCTTCTAAAATGGGGACTTTAGTGATGAACAAAAGCATCAGCCCACCTGAAATAGAGAAACCCAAATGAAGTAGTCAACAATCAGAAAAAAAAGCAAATTAATTTAAACCTTACTTTGCTGAAACAGTTCGGGATGATTAAAAGTGTGACTTGGTTTGTTGAAACAAATGTGGATGTAATCATAAATCATAGTTTAGGGACTTGACTTCTTTCACCAAATGATGATTTAATGTGACTAGTTAATTTAAAAAGAAGTAAGGGCTTCCAGTCTTCTCAAGTGGGCAGAATAGGAATCTAAAAGTGATTTCTACTTGTGGTGGTAAACTACACTTTGAGATCATGTCATATGTCCAAGTTTCTGTGATCTGAATGCATCATTAAAATAATTAATTGGCCAGTTCAGTTTAATCTGTGAAAAGATGCAGAAAGCAGGTAAAATAGACTTATTCTATAATTCTAACAATATATGTGTTAGAATTAGAAACATAGAATCATAAGGTTGAAAGGGACCTTGGAAAAGATCACTAAACTCCCAAACTGAATGATTCCATAGGACAGAATCCTCAGACCATCCCAAACAAATGGCTGTCCAATCTTTGCTTGAAAATCTCCAGTGATGGAGCTTCTATGACTCCAGGAAGCAAATTGCTCCACTGCTAAATAGCTCTCACAGCCAGGAAATTCCTCCTTATTATGAGTTTGGATCTTCTTCAGTAAAGCTTCCACCTGTTGGTTCCAACTCTTGTTTACTTGCCCGTGTTTTTTTGTTATTTTTGCTTTGATGCAGGTACACATTGAGATCTATTAAATCGTGACTTACGTTGCAAAGGAAGGCATCCACCGTATACTGGGGTACACTACAATGCAGAGCGTTGAGGACAGAGTGGCACCACTCTCTTCTCTCAATATGGCACAGGAAGAGGATTTGGGACAGCAGCTGCAGGAAAGTGCCTTGAATCAGCAAGAGGAGATCCTTCACCTTCCAGATATCCATTCCTTGATGAACAGCTCTCACTCCGACAATAACCATTTGCAAAAGGAATTCTTCTCCCTTAAGATTAGGAACTGCCCTCTGTTCAAAGCCGTCCCACTCCCTCATATTGGTAAAAAAGTCTTGCCAAACCTGAGCAAGGTGGCCAGTGGAGCTGTGTCACTCAAGGAATCCCTCAATCTGCATTTTTTACCAGAAAACAATCTCTTGGAGAAGATCTTCAGCCACTTTGATAGCACCACAGTAACGGGATGGCTGGAGAGAGCTCATGGCATCCTTTGCGAGCTGGGCAGGTGGAGTTCCTCCAGAGAGAACTTTGTACACTTTGCACACTTCTGGCTATCTGAGCTCCACCACAACCAGAAGCAACAGTTGTTAGAACTGGAATTGGGGGTTATTGGTGATGAAGTGCATCTTGCATTCCTAGAAGGGCTGGACTGTAAGGACCTTCAGCCTTCAGACTTGAGTTCCATCCTGGTGGCTGCACTGAGTGAATATCCAATGGGGTTCACCAGTAACCAGCACCCCTATGTTTTTTTGGATTACTTGAACCTCATGTCTTCACCCGATACATCCGGATACACGGAAATGCTTTCCAACATACAATATCCAAGCAAAAACCCTCAGATAACTCAGTGGTTGCTCGCTATACGAGAATTTGCCCTGGCGAACCTCTGGCATGCTATAGTCAAGGTAAAAACCCAAGTGAGAAATGTTGGTGCAGGATTGCAAACTGGCTTATACGTTATTTTTAACATTGACCAGATGCTGAGACTGCATATACTGGTGTGGTTTAAGAACACTCTAGAAAGCCAATACGAAGTAGCATTAGGCAGTTAGATGGTTAGATAAAAATGGGGCATCGCTTCTAAGTTAGTATCAGCCTATTATCAATGGGGTTGTGTTTCAACTTGATGGGTCTTTTGCCATCTGCTACAGCGGCAACATATCTTTTAGCCAATCCTAGTTTTTTGCATTTTTATCTAAGTGAAAGATGTTTACTATGAACTTATATTTTTGAAGCATTTCAGGAGTCCATCAGAAACATAACATATGAAGCATAGCTTTGACCTTGACCATGGCATGGGAAGATGGGACTGTAGACCCTCAATGTCTTTGGGTACCCTCTTGGGCAAATACTTTGGTGCATCTAAATGTAGAACAGAGTGAAATGTTGAACTTCCTATAAAGTCGCCACTTTGAAAACAGGGTGGTCCAAACAGCCTGGAAAAAGTTCTGCTGATATGTTGGGACTTTTGTAACAAAGCAAAATATCTTTAGAAAAAGGACCAAGATAGATGACTGTCCCAACTGTGATTGTATATGTTTTGCTTGTGACAGTGATTTCTTTTTAGATGAGTTGATTATCAGAGAGATTTGGAATTAAGATGCACAGTCACATACTAAGTGCCCGACTTTTAAAATTTAGTTCTATAAGAAATTGGTCAGCACCCAGCTCTCTTCTGAACCACCCATCAAGAGTCCTGGTTCTGCCACTAGAAAAGAATCCACTGAAGTCATTAAAGAAAGGTAAGGATGTTGGCCTTTGAAGAATCTCTTTGACAGTATTATTTTTCTATTTTATTTTAAACTAGAACTGATGCACATCTTGCACTGCATTACGAATGAATACACTCTTTATTATGGCTGAAGACCGCCTGCTTTGCTTTATGAAGTCGGGCATAATTGCCTTTTTGATGGCATTTTCACAAGAAAAGCAATCTTGCTTGAATGTGGCTGATGTTTGCATGTCAGAGAAAGACTTGTATAATGTTCCTCTGAATAATATGCCTGTATTCAGTTTCATATTTAGTGCCCCAAATTGCCCACTTAAGATGCTTTAATGCTTAGGAATAGTTTACTTCCACCATTTCATTCATATAGACCCAGGTGTTGAAAAGCTGCTGGATTTTTCTTTTTTCCAAACAGGACAAGTTAGTGGTAATAATGGGAAACATTGCATATGACAGCAAAATCATGTGAGGTTGGATTAATGCCCTGGGTATGACTGTAAAATGTTTACTTGCCCTACCTGTTTGCTTAAAGAGACAGTAGAAGTTTCATTGCCTAAATATTTGGCGGTGCAACAAAGCAGCTATAATTTGTCCCCTTCCTTCTGGAAGATGTTAAATCCCTGCTATTTGTGTTCTTTGTTCACATCAGCAGAGTTTGGACAAGAACCTTATTAAATTGGCTTGAATTTTTTTTGGCAACTGTACCTTGTTGACCTGCATTCCTATGATTCGGCATCTATGTTGCTAAAAATTAAGGGTTTCCATTCAGTCAAACCTGGGCATAGTTCCCATACACAGAAGTGTGTTAAATTTAATTTCCCCACTTCCTCAATGCAAGCGTGGATACAGACAGCTTGGGAAGTATTGCAAGAAATAGGAAAGTATTTCATATGCATTTCCCATCTAATGTTCACTATCCAAGTCAGTTTGGGTGGGATTACGGGACCCATGTGTTATAGTCTGATTTCTTGCATGGTTTCCTCATAGTAGCTGAGCCAGGTTTGTTTAACTATGGTTTGTTGAAAAAGTCACAATTGGCTGGCTTGGCATGACAAGGAATGAACCACTGTTCACAAACGAGAGGTTGGGTACATGTACTATTGGCTACTCCGGTGGATAATAATTCCTAACTCCTGGCTGGGCTGTACTCAGTTACAAGCTTCAGAGCCAAGACTATTTTAAAATATTCCTAACTAGACATCCTCTGTGGCCAACTAACTGGGTGGAGGAGCAAGCTAGAGTCATCAACCATAGTTTACAAATTTTCACACATCATGCTAAATGGTGGGTGAATTCAGACTGTAACCACAATCATGCCTCATAACCACCCAAGATTTCTAAGACTGATAGGAGTTGGAGTTCAGTCAACTTGGCCTTTCAGACAAAGCCAGAGATATCATCTTTGAGCCCTTACCTAATCCAGCATCCTGCTTATGACATTACTTTTCAGGTTGGAGCTTTTGTATACTCAGTGGCTGGGTTTGCACATCATGCTAAGCCTAAGATTTTTAAATCTTGATGTGTTGCATAAGTCATAATGTCTTATGACAGCAGATGAGTTCACACACCACACTAAGTTCACCAAGGATCAAACCTGCCCGTCTTTGGAAGAACCCAATCCTTGTGACCAAGTGCCATTGAGTGACCTCCTTCAAAATATCTGCTCCCTTTTTGCACCCTCTAAACCTGGGACTGTCTCCATTCTGTCTCCATGCACCAAATTCTTAAATCGTGTGAGGATATGTCTTTTCCATGCACCTACATTGGAAACAGGAGAATGGAGAGAAGTAGGTTGGAAGGAAGATTTTTCATGGGACCTGCTCCAGTAGTTTAAAAAGAGAAAACAAAATCACCTCTCAGACACGTATCTTGGAGAGGAGAGGAAAGAGAGAGAGATTCTGCAGTGGCATAGACAAATTGGGTTACCATAACCAATTAATTTTAAAATCTTTATTCAACAATCTCTACTTGTCTGCAAACAACTACTCAGTCTCTTACAATTGATGTAACGTCTCTATTAGAAAGCAGATTACATCAGCTTTCACTGTTGTCATATGTTATTAGAACATAGTTTAATCAAAGAAACTTCTGGATAACTAGAACTCTTTAGATTAGAAATTAGGTAGATACGACAAAACACAGATGTTTCTTGAAGCTGATGATGGAATTGCTTGCTCACACCACTGGAGGGTGTTAGAGGTCAAGTGTTTGAAGCTCCTTAAGCTGGAGAATTTTAGTTCTTCGATGGGGGAGTACATTTATCAACATTTAAATGTCACTGGAAATGTGCAGGGTTTATGTTGTCATCTTAGTAGAGTAGCATATTGTATCAATATTGAAAGGCATGTATTTGTGGTGATGATTTAAATATGAACACGCAATGCTCTTCTTCCCATAATTCAAGGCAGTTTAGAAGATCAAAATCTAAGACAAGGTATTGCACCATAGGATCGACCTGAATTTTAATTACAGCAAGGTAGTTACAGTACTGTGGTTGGGGTTTTTTTTGGTGGAATCTACTGAGAATGTGCTTCACACATGCTACTCCACATTTCCCTGAACAATAGTTTGTTAAAGAAGCCACAACTGGCTGGGTTCCCCCATTGTTTTGAAGCCTTTTATAAAATTTGAAGTTTTATAAACATGGTTTATAACACACAGTGATTGTGTTCAAACAATACCCTAAGACCATAACACCCACATTCTGGCTTTGTATCATGTGTAAATCTACTTGTCTTTACATCTGGCAAAGGACAATGGATAGTTTTTACTCATTAAATTTCAACATCACATAAATTGATTTGTTTTCACCTTAGTTTGTTGAACAAGGCATAGTGGCCTGGTTGCCCCTTAATGCTAAATCATAAGCCATCATTTACTGTTCATAAAATTTAGTAGAAGCTATCTAGCAATAATTTTGGTCCCCAATCTCATCATGTTGTAAGTTGTTATTTTTGCTGCATTTTGTAGTTGTAAGATTTGTTTTTTGTTTTAATCCCCTTTCCTCTCTGTTCTCTGCATCTTTAGGTGAGGACAAGTTATAAATATCCAGCCTCTTTGGATCCTGCCTACTAATTGTAGGAGAAAATCCTCGCTCAATTTGTGTAGAGATGAAAATGATCAAAGTAGCCTGTCTTTGATGCTGGTCTTTTGCAAATGGTATTAGCCATTAATATCCTTGCTTTTCTCCTTCTAAGAGCTCTGCAGGCTGTTCAGTGGGGATATGTAGATGTCTTGGATTATCTTGTTAAAAGCCAGAAGCTGGACCTTAGCATCGTGGATGAAAAGAACCGAAATCTTTTATTTTTGGCCACTATCCATGACCAGTCTAAGATTCTGGACTATTTTCTTGAAATGGTCAGTTGTGCAAAAGATTTTGTTAACCTTTATTATTGTAGATTTCCAAAGATACTTCCAAGTTTGGTTCAGCTTTTCCCAATTTGATTAGGGGTGAGGGAGTTGTAACCCGGTAGAGCTGGAGAACATCAGATTGGAAGAGATACAGATAGGGTTTTTATAGATTAAAAAAAACAGCTAGGGATAATGCTTCCTCATTCTGAGGAAGGTAAACAATAATGTGTCAAAGAGTTGGCCACCATTTTTTCAGTCTTTTCAGGTGAAATCTTTTCAGGGTCAAATCTTTACTTCTGGGGCCAAATGAAGAAGGCGCTAGAATAAGCCCCAGACACCATCCCATTGGTTGCATCTGGATTCTCAGAACTCAGAATTATTTTTTTAAAACAAGGGTTGAAACCTTGTAAGAAGGCCAAATCTAGCAATTAGGCAGTAGGCTGTGTGGAATGCCAAGAGAACAACACTTTTATCAAGAAGACATCTCATCATCTTGGTATTCGTGGTGGTAGAAGGATGCCATGACACAAGTTCTCCCATGCCTGGGCTTCGGCCTAAGTTTTGGTTCAACAACTCCAAAACAAATGACACCTGTGAACATAGTTTCCTGCCAGATTAGATCCAAGGCAACTTTCTTCCCACAGCAGTCAACCAAGAAGGCTTCTCAACCTAGACATTTAGGACAATTTCCTTACCTTGTCTTTGCCACCAAGTAACCGATGATATGAGTAGTGTACAATTTTAATTCAGGGAGGTCTTGGGAGGCAGCAGCAGAGGGAGTGTCTGCACATACACATTATATCAGGGGAGATACATTAAGACAAGAAAACGTTGGCTGTTCTATTAGTGGACAACCATGAAATAGGAGGTGGATGGCACTGCCATGTCATTGCAGGAATCGCATTTTTAGAGCCAAAGAATGAGTAGGATCCACAGAAAAAGTAAAAGGCCATTAAATTAAATGTAAATTATGTTATTTTAAATCAATTTAATCTAGTTCTAATCTTATTCTCCCTGTTTGGGATACATTCCCATTTAAAGTTATTTGGAGATTCTTTTGAAGGGATGGTGGAGGTGAACCTTCAGGTTTCAAGTTATGCTCTTTCCTGCTAATGCTGTCAATGTGTTGGTTTGCAGGCACTTCCTGTACCTGATGTAAACCAAGCTGCTGAAAATGGTAATACACCTCTTCACGCTGCAGTGAACACTGGCAAAATGCATCTTATTTCTCTGCTTTTACACTACCCCGGGATTAACGTGAACGTCCAAAACCCCCAGTGCGATGGGGCAACTCCACTGCACCTTGCAATTGTTTATGGTAAACTTTGGCCATTGAGTTATATCCTTCTTAGGATAGTCCTCCTACATTTATGTTTGATGCTTGGATAACGGACATTTTTCACTGGGTTTCTCCCCCCTGGATCCTTCATAAAAGGATGCTATTACACATAATGATGGTAATAATTCTCCCTTATTGGTAGCCTCTGTGGAAGCTGGTTTCCAGGGCAGGCATAAAGCGGGGTTTATAAATATACTACATCCATCATGAACAACATTGTTGAAGAGCAGAGAGGTAAGCCTGCAGAGATCTGCAATTGTACCAGAGCAACTCAATGAGTTTTTTCAAGGGAAAAGGGAAGATAATTCTGATTGGAATAGTAATCTTGGGGATTGGGGGCTTCCCTGGTTCCTTCAATGCCATTGTCCTAGTAAGAAATGTCCAGCTCTTCCTTCAAGGATAGCATATGCGTAGAATAAAGATTTACATCAATACAAATAAACA